GAGCGTTGATATAGTAAGGCTATTGTGTTTTGAATGCTTTTTAGCTTTGAATATATATATGTAACTATTTTGATGGCTATGCTTCTGGCGACTCTTTCGCATGACGGAAGCTCTGAATTTTTTCTATTTACAAACATATAAACGTACATACATATATGAGGCATTCCAGCCCTATTCGGACACCATTTGGATTTTGCACCTCCAATTTTTTTATTATTTATTATGTTAACAATTGAGAGAGACCTCCTTGATTTTTTTTTAATTTTTTTCGTCCAGCCTTTTTAAAATCTCGAATAAGACACTTTTCTTTTTTAAATGCCCATTATTTTGTGAAAAATTGGCAATTACAATTTCCAAAACAATTGTGGAAAATGAAATCGAAAAAATTTTTTAAACCATGTTTCATATCAGACTTTTATGAACTGTTCAAATTTTTAGTATAAAAAAGTACTCATCTATTTTTTCTAAAAAAGCGTCACTCATTCCGTAACTTTAAAGCCTAGCTCAAAAATTTCTTTCTTTACTGTAATTATTTTTATATTTTTAATTAATGCATTTGATTTGATGCATTCAGAGTTTCTGAAGTTGAGCTGCACAAAATTCGTTAGTTTTCCGTTAAATTAAAAATAAAAAAAAACTGATACCATTGTTATGCTATTATCGGACTTAGCTTAAAAGTTGCGGAATGAGTATCACTTTTTTAGAAAAAAATTCAAATAAAACGACCAGTGTGTGCTTTTTGGGAATCAACATTTTATATTAAAAATGTGAGAATTTTATAGAAACATGGTTTTGAAATTTTTTTTTGATTTCATATTCCAAAGTGTTTGAAAATTGAAACTTAAAAAAATTGCCCCAATTGGTTAATTTTTGGCAAAGTTATGGGCCTTTAAAAGAGAAGAACCCTTTTTTTTCAAAAATCGATTTCTCAAAAATGGCTGGACAAAAAAAACTTTTATAAGACAAGGGAGCCTGGAACTATAACATTAAATATTCTTCTACTTCTTATTTGGCACTACAACCGTTTGTTGGTTCGGTCCGAGACCGAACATCTTCTCCAATTGCCTCTCTCCTGTGCGTATTTGCGCCAGTCGCTCATTCCGATTGCAGCCAGGTCCCTTTGCACTTGGTCTTTCCATTTTGTTCATCGGCGCCCTTGCTTTCGCTGTCCACCCATGGGGGCGGAGTCGACGGATCTTTTCACCGAAGCGTCGTCATCCATGCGTACAAAATATCCAAGCCAGCACAATCGCTGAATTTTTGTGCGCTTAACCATGTCCATGTCGTTTAAAAGCTCACACAGTTCGTCATTCCATCTTCTTCTATACCCGTCGTCTACGCGAACAGATCCGTAGATCTTACTTAGAATAGTTCTCTCGAAAGCACCCAAAGCTTTCTCATCTTTGTTCGACATCAACCACGTTTCTGCGACATACCTCAGAACAGGCATTGTGACATTATGAAAAGAAAATCGGAGATGAAAAGGCCAAATGGTGCCCGAATTGGGCTGGAATGCACCATATAATTGTTATACTTAGTTATTATCCTCTTATTGCGTCGTTCATAATTGTCTACTTAGGATGCTTGATTCTATTTCAATATATGCATAAGTTCACATAGTCACGAACAATTTAGAATTCCCGGGTAAGCTGGCAAAAATTGACTGACTTACCTTGAACCCATTTGTGTTTTTGCGTCTTGCATAACACACTTGGCCTTAATCCACATTAGTTTTATTTTCAATCAGTAAGAGCATTCACATTCGTGTTCTTATATACATATATAGAAGGCATATACATACATACGTATGTATATACAAATACATGACAATGCTGTAGTTACCGCAAACCAACTTTGGCCTTAACACTTTAGCACTTTCGCCTTTGAATTTTCCTATTCACCTATTTATTTGTTTAGTTCCAGCTGTTCGAAATGACCACCCATTGGGTATTGTTTGGATATCAATGAAGTGTTTTGCACCATAAATAGCGTATCCTTCCTCCAATATCAAATTACTACACACTGTTTATAGACACAGCGTGATTTGCGCTCTTTCACACCATTTTCCGGAACCGAGTTCATATCGTCGCCCTCATGCCACAAGCATGAATCTGCAAATTTATCAGTTTTGAGTTATTGGGTTGACTTGATTAACTTTTGGATGTTCTGTTACAGCAAAACCCAGAATACCATGCGCGCACATTTACGATTTCAATTGCATAAATATATAGAGTTAAGTCTCGTAAAAAAAAAACTTTCAAACTTGATTCCCCAAAATTTAAATTTTTACATATTCATGTTTTTGGCATACGGACGACGATACGTAAATACATACAAGTGTATGTACCCTGCCAGCAATTGGAAAAGAATTTCTTTGTCTATCGCCACGATGCCACTTCTTAGTGACTATTGGAAGTTATCAAATCGATAGTAACTCAGTTCACGAGAACAAAAGAACATTTCTGTCGCTTTTCTGTCTACTTAACGGGTGCTCGGACCACTTTTACCCATTGAAGTTTTGAAAATAACAAAGCAAATCTTTGAAATTCATTCAAGTAAAATTATATTTCTCGATTTGTTTTAAATTTTCAATTAACGTGCAAGCTATTATGTATGTGTGTACATGTGTATGTATGTAAGAATAGCAAATAATAAAATTGCGTTTACATACACTTTAAACGTTATTTGATTTATTAAGTTAAGGCTATTTTACAATGATGTTTCGGAACTGCTTTTTAAAATATTTAGGTGGAGTTTCATAAAATATGAATGCAAAGGGTGATTCAATAAGACTGCAGACTTTCTTTTATAAATAAAACACAACAAAATTTGTCTCAATAATTTTTTTATTTCATCATGTTTTATAGTCTATGGCATATGTGTTAAACGCCCATCACGACTCCTGCGGCAACATAGGATGCGCATACATATAAGAATTTTCCATGACGTTTTTGCATAGTTCGAGTTGTATATCATTTATAACGCTTTTGTTTTCATTCTTCAGCTCTGGAATCATCTCGGACTTATTGACATAGACCACACTTTTCACGTAACTCCAGGTAAAGAAGTGCAATGGTGTTAAATCGGAAGATCTCGGGGCCGTTTTACCTCGTTGTTTCGTGAGTTAGTGGGTCCTGGGAGCTTCGTTAGGGCGCTATTGTCCAAGCCCATATCATCCCTTTCGGGCCATAAAACGTTTGTAATCGTGTTCACCGTTCGCCATAACAGTACGGTTCGATGACCCTGCATCAATATTTTTGGATGCACGGGTATTGTCACGTTTTGCACCGTCCCAGTGGCTTGTAATTTCTGCATAAAGCGGCTGATTGTTGACTGGAAAATGCACGAAATCTACCTTTTGCAGAACGACCAATTCCGTAAAAAGTTTGGGTAACTTTTACGCTTTGTTCAACTGAGTATGTCTGAAAAAAAAAATGTATATATATACGCAAATAATTGCTGTCTCATTTTTCCAGTGTGAATTGTCTTTTTTCTCTTCTTTTTTTGTTTGGAGCTGTAATAGCCTAAGCGATTTTGAACGAGTTTTATAAAGAACGGCAATCATTTCTTTTTTGCACTAAGAAAAGAAATTGGTTATGTCAACTAAAAAGATTTCTCTCAACACATCATTTCGGTTAGTTACCAAATATTTCGCAAAATATTTTCATTGATTACTCCAAGACCCCCCTCATCGTTGAACATGCTTCTTATAGAGCAGGGATGCACATGAAAAACAACATTACTTCGATGTTTTGCTCATCAGTTTGTTTACAACACTAAACCTGCAATAACAAAATTAACGATATTAAAATTCACAACCGACGAATAATCGAAATTACTGGCGAGGTGATGATGCGCCGTGCGATTCCTAGGATACTATCAAGAAGTAAGCTTGCGAAGAATGCATAGTGAAATCGTAATTTTTTTCAAATGTACAAAAACAGCTTGCCGGTTATCATGACCTTATATTGTTCTATCCAGCATCAAATTAAAAAAGTCGCAGGCTGGAGAGTCTGCCTGTCTGAAACATCGTTTAGTATTAAATTGCTCGGAGGCCCTCTTCAATTCTGAAGTAACCCCATGAGTTCCGCGGCATATACGTATCACCTTTTCTTGCTGTCTAAAGCGGTTCTGAAGCCGGTCAATAAGTAGACGATGTGTGCCCATCCTCCTCTTCCAAGTCTTTTCCAAGATTTGGTATATGGTACACATGTGGTATAAAGCCACACTGATAAGACTCAACCAGTTTGTTGACGGTCGACTTTACCCTTTTACACAATGCGCTCGTTAAAACATTATATGCGACGTTTAAGAGCTAATACCGCTTATGCAAGGGCGAGAGTAGAGCTTTCCTTGCGTTGATGGACGATAATTTTTTTTTGCTGCCCAGAGATGCATATTGGATGCAAAAAGATATCGATCGGAGTCGTAAATACATACGTCCAAAAACTGTACGCGTGTTTCCGATTCATAGATTCCTTACTTGGCCTGAAATGGCCGGCACGATTTTGATATCAGGATGCGACAGCTGTCATAATATTAGAACTCCACAAAACGCTTTTTAGGCGTCCACCTCATATCAGGCTTCCATCACTTTATTCACCTATAAGTTTCATATTACGACGTGACCGCCTATTCCTTGTTTTCTGTCAGAAGGCATTGTAGCGACTGCTACATCAACCTTACCTAACTGCATATCCAATAAACGCCATTCAAAAGGAGGGTAACATATTTCAGTTGCCATTTTATATTTCGATTTTTTTTTTGTAAGCTCTTTCGTGTTTAAGGGAATACCCCATGGCGTTTTTATGTATTGTAATTAATTGACTTGGTACATTTGGCGAACCCGTATTTCGAAAACGCTGAAAGGACTATAATTCCTCATACAATATTTTTCAATGAAATATTCACTATATCCATAACTTCACGCAGCCCTTAAAATTAACATCATTTTAAAATTTGCTTCAATATCTTATATTTCTGTGTTCTTTTCTTTTTAGGTAAGCTATTGAAACAACAATCAACAGAACAATATTTGTATGCATGAATATCGAACAGTGAATTTAAGACGTCCAATGCTGAACAATTTTAAAAGGTTTATTGATATGATTTCTTCAAGGTACTGAAAATGCAAATAAGATTTTGTGAAAAGGGCAATATTAAACTAATTAAATCAAAATTATCGTGGTTTGCTTTTACGTACCTATGTATATATGTATGTATATTGATTGAATACAGTCCTAGCATACACAAATATGGCTGTAGCTGTTCATTTGATAGCTTCATATTTTAATGAATATTAATTAAAGTCATAAAATATTTGATCACATCATACAAGAAAAACACTTTATTTACAATTTTATGTATGGATACTAGGGATGCCCATGCCGGTATTTTCGACGTCCCGAAAATCCCGGGATCTGCTTGCGCTAATTCTGGGATCCCGAAAAATGTGAAATATCGAATTGATAGTAAGAACTTGTTTAAGAATTTGAATTATGATTTTAGTAAAATGCCGTTTTAACTACAATTAACAAAAAGCTTGAAACTGTAATTTTAAAATTGCTGCCTGAGCCTTTTTTGAAAAAGATTAATTGAATGTATTTATAGCGTCGCTAATGTAAATGAAACAGAAAGTTTTAAGGAAAATTTACATAATTTTTTAAATCACTCTACTCCAACTTTCTCAAATCGAAAAATTTATAATTTATCCGTCGTGCTGGTAAAAGAGGCTGAAATATTTTGTAATGGGGGAGATAGGTGGCATTATCTTCAAATGGCTTATGACTACCTTTATACAGTTCAGCCTAAAAGATGTAAAGATGTTTTTCATCAGAAGGTTTTTGTATGTACACCCTGCCACAAAAGATAGCAAATCAAGATTTTTACCAGTTTTGACTACTTTTCTTTAGCTGTTTTTAAGGTTCATTACTTTTATATAAAAGTATAGCTCTTCATCCAACAAATACCCTATAAATCTAAATTTCAGACTGTACAAAAATTATAAAAATTCCACAAATATCTCATCCCAATTCCAAGCATTTTAATTTTTATTTCTAAAATAATTTTTGGTATGCAGTTTTATAGCTTATTCAACTCTAGTATAATAAAGCGCAAGTTTGAAGTTCCTAAAAAATCGTGTTGATTTTTGATAATTTTTTTTTACGGTGTTATGCACTCTTTTCCATATAAAAAACTAATTTTTATGGAAGAAAAGGCGTGCCATTTCTTTATGAAGTAGAATAAACCTGTTTTGTATTTTTTTTTGTTTAAATATTCTTTTATTAATCATCACTATTTGTATCTAAATTGTGAAACTTTTAATCAGAATTTTTAGAAAAAATTTGGGTATGCATGGTCCGAAAATCCGCTTTTTTGTGCTTCTATTGCTAATAGCAAATATATGGTTCATTATGTTCTGAAAAAACTCTGTGCGAAAGATGAAAAATTTTCGTCAATATCTTCGGCACGCCCAAGAACGTTAAAGTTAAATGAGTTCAAACAAATTTGTTTAGCCTAATTCGAGAGATAATTATAATTTTAGTAAAAAAATTTGTTAATTGACTTATGTATTAATTTTTAAATTTTTTAATTTTGTTTTAATTTTCCTAATTTTTTTTATTACATAGCCTATTTACCTCCATACCCAAAATTTTTCTAAAAATTCAGATTGAAAAGTTCAATATTTAGATAAGAGGTTTTCTAAATTTATTTTTATAAAAAAATAAGGAAAAAATTTTAGCTTGGAAAACATTGCAAATATTTGACAAAGAAACACCATGCACCCACTTTTGATCGCCAGTGTAGGGTTTCCTCTATCACATGGTTTTTTAAATACAATTTTAAAAATGTTTTACTTTAAGATTTGTCTGTATTAATAAATATGCGAGTTTTACAATCAGTTTATCGTAAATGTTAAATAGTTTTATTTCATGGTATGTTTGATTGCCTTCAGTTATTGAACTTTTACTCATATTCATAAAAGTTATGTGTCAATGTGAATCCCGGGATTACTTAAAACATATCCCGAAATCCCGGGATCACAATTCTCCGCATATTTTGGCATCCATAATGGATACGTTTGTGCTTACACAGAAATTCTCGTACATACCCAGCCAGCGAAATATCCGGAAACGTATCCGAAAATGGAAACAATTTCTTATAATAACCTGATGTTTCATCCGTTTTCCGATTCCATTTTCGGACGTTTTTCAGATCAATTCTCCCACTAAAGTGTTCATCCGAAACGTATATGCAGAAAACTATCGAAAATTGTTGTAAAACGGATGCGCTTTCGACTATTTTCCTGAAATTTGTCTTTCTTTCGCTGAAAACGATTTCATTATGAACTTCACAGAAACTTTTTCATAGTTGCCGGAAACCAAATAAAAAACCATTTTAAGATTCAGCAATTATTTCAAATTTGAATAAACAATTTTAATGTGTTGCTTCTGACGGAATTCGAACCTGGGACCTCCTCAAAGCTAGCAAATAGTACCACACTTCTCTGCACACTCAGCTACTGGTGAATACGTATACATGTTTTCAAATGCTCAGTTTGAACAAATATTTTAAAATTATTGTTTTGAAATAAGATGATGACATTTTTCGGATACGAAAAATCAACAAATATGAAAATTGTTTTCTGAATATTTCCGGATACGAAAAATGTACGAAAACTGCAATTTCAGCAAAAATTGCGTTTCTCTGCTGGCTGGGTACGTACACACATACATACATACATACGTATTTGCTAAGTACATATTATTTAGTTGCTCATACGCCAAGTCATACATAAATGAATGTCGAAATTGGCACAGAAATGTAACTCGCTTAGTAAATTTACATATATTTGTCTCACTTTCGTCCCACGCAGATTAACCGCCCAATAATGTGTTTCCTTGATAAATTTTTTGTAAAGAAATTTTATCAAGATTTTTATCAAACCATAGGTCTAAAATGAATTTGGAGCCAGCGAGTTTTTCTATCTAGTTTTTTTTTTCCAAAAAGTGGCTCACCTGTTGAAACAGCTGTATTGAAAACTAGCCAAAATGTGTATCTGGGGTTTTTGGGGACGAGGAATCAATTTCTGGCATTAATTTTTTTTTTTAAGGCCGCCAGAGGGCGCTTCCGTACTTTTTTTATGGATTTTAATGCTTTTTTCCGAAATCGACAACATTGTTGCGAAAATCCACGAAATTTTACTGTCTCATAATGCAATTTAAATTTTTAAATAGTCTCCAATGTTCAGCATTGAAATTTTTTTAAATTTTTTTTTATTTTTATTATTTTTTTTTTTATTTTACATATTAAACACAGTATGAAAATGAAAAAGCACAGTATGAAAATGAAAAAGCATGCTGTCACACATGTCATTTGTCATACAATATGTCGATAAACAGTATTACCAACATAATATTAAAAAAATACGTTATACGTATTTAAATATTGAAACATTGGCTGCATTTCTTTATTCATTCTAAACGTTTGGAATAAACTTTTTTGTTTACTTATTCTTTAGAACGTTCCTGATGATATGTTAACGTATATTTCAAACGCATTCTGTTTATTCCGGCTGTGAAATGGGATTATCCGGAATGTATAAAGAAACGCAGCCATTATAAATTGTTTATGTTTTTTTTTCATTTACATTTCATGTTTTTATCTTTCAAGTTGAATTTTTGGAAAAAAAAAAATATTAAAATGAGAAAAAAATTGTTTTGTAAAATTCAGAGAACATGAATATACCTCCCTTCCCCCTAATTTTCAACGCTGAACATTTTAGGCTATTTAAAAATTGAAATTGCTTTATGAGAAAGTCACATTTCGTGGATTTTCACAACAATGTTGTCGATTTTCGGAAAAAAGGCGTTATAATCCATAAAAAAGGTACGTCAGCGCCCTCTGGTGGCACTAAAAAAAAAAACTTTAATGCCATAAATGGGTTCCTCGACCCCAAAAACCCCCAGATACACATTTTGGCTAGTTTTCACTACAGCCGTTTCAACAGGTGAGCCACTATTTGAAAAAAAAAGAAACTAGATATAAAAATCGCTGGATCGAAATTCATTTTAGACCTATGGTTTCTTGGGCAAAAATACTTGAAATTACCCAAATAACAATAATCGAGATGTGCCTTGGATGCAAAAAAATTGACCTGCTCTAATATATGTATATGTATGTATGTACATTGAGAAGAAAGCAAGCTCCCGGCTGGCACACCCTGTATATTTAGTATAACTCATAAATATGTATATGAAAGGTATGCAATTCGTGCAAAAAAGCAATTTTTTGAGTATAACGAAGAGTAAATCTAATATACTGTGACTGGTACATTTTTTTGTATAGAAAACAAATGTAAGCATGTAATAAAAATCCAATCATATACATATGTATATGTGTATGAAGAATTGTGTGGATTTGCATAAAACAATAAATAAATATAATGAAACAATGCGATTTTCTTCCAAATGCACGTGTAGACATTTTCAGCATACGCAGCGAAAGTGAGATATGTAAGTATATTTGTTTGTGCATGAACTGATAAAATTTATTGATATATTGGGCGGAAGAAAGTACCCTGCAAACCAAAGTTGTTGTAAAAGAATCGAAGTATGCTTGGTACATTTTATCTTAGAAATATCAGCAAAAAATTGGAATGAGAAAAAAATGATTTCCTTACGAATTCTTCAAGAGTTTTCTACTATTTAGAGACAAAAAAATGGTTTGCGGGATATACATAATCCACATGTCACTCATTTAATTCAATAGCGCCATAACTCAAAAAAGCTACTCTCGATATAAACGCCCATAGTAGAAGTGCATACATATTTTGTTGTAGTGAAATACTGAGAAATTTTTGCACAACATATAAGAATAGGTAACGATAACTTCTGCATAACCAACTCTTTTTTTCGATCATGATACAATTGAAGTAAATAGCGATATGTATATTTTTATACAAATTTAATCAAAAATATTTCAAATACAAAAATAATGTTTTTAATAATTTCATCTAAATATGGTGTATTTTAGAACGAATTTCTGTTATCTCTTGTAAATTTTTGTTGATAAGAAAAT